TGGGCTTGGGTTGGGTATGTGTGGACCACTCAGTGTTGTGAGTGTCAGTGTAGTGGACCACTCAGTGTTGTGAGTGTCAGTGTAGTGGACCACTCAGTGTTGTGAGTGTCAGTGTAGTGGACCACTCAGTGTTGTGAGTGTCAGTGTAGTGGACCACTCAGTGTTGTGAGTGTCAGTGTAGTTTGGGCCACTATGTTTGTTGTCAGTGTAGTGGACCCTCAGTGTTGAGTGTCAGAGTAGGGGGACCACTCAGTGGTTGAGTGTCGGTAGTGGACCACTCAGTGGTTGAGTGTCAGGTAGTGGACCACTCCCGTGTTGTGAGTGTCATAGTAGTGGACCCCCTCCAGTGTTGTGTCAGGTAGTGGACCACCCCCAGTGTGTGAGTGTCAGTGTAGTGGACCACTCAGTGTTTTGGTGTCAGGTGTAGTGGACCCCTCAGTTTTTTGTGAGTGGGCATTGTTGTGGACCACTCAGTTTTTGTTTAGTGTCAGTGTAGTGGACCAATCAGTGTTGTGGAGTGTTTTAGTTTAGTGGACCATCACTGTTGTGAGTGTCAGTGTAGTGGACCCCCTCAGTGTTTTTGAGTGTAAATGTGTGGACCACTCGGGGTTGTGAGTGTCGAGTAGTGGACCATCAGTGTTGTGAGTGTAGGGTAGTAGGGCCACTCCGTGTTGTGAGTGTCAGTAGTGGAATCGTTAGTGTCAGAGTAGTGGGCCACCAGTGTTGTGAGTGGCAGTAGTGGGCCACTCAGTGTTGTTGTAGAGTAGGGGCCCCTCAGTGGTTGGGGTGTCAGAGTAGTGGGGCAAATCAGTGTTGTGGTGTCAGTGAGTGGGCCACTCGGGGTTGTGGGGGTGAGTGTAGTGGGGCCCAAACGTGTTGTGAGTGTCATGTTGTGGGAAAACCCCGTGTTGTCGTGTTTAGTGGCCATTCAGGGGTTTGTGAGTGTAGGTGTAGGGGACAATCAGTGTTGTGAGTGCCGGTGGTAGGGACCACTCAGTGTTGTGAGTGTTTAGTAGGGGCCCCCCCCCCCTTTAGTGTTGGTCAGAGTAGTGGCCACTCGTGGTCTTTTTGGGGTCAGAGTAGTGGCCACTCAGGTTGTGGTGTCGTGTAGTGGACCACTCGGTTTTTGTGAGTGGAGGTTTGTAGTGGACCCCAAACAGTGTTGTTTAGTGTCAGTGTAGTGGGGCCACTCAGTGGGTTTTTGTTTAGTGGACCATTCGTTTTTTTGTGAGTGTCGTGTAAATGGCCCCTAAAATGTTTTGAGTGGGCCGGGGTAGTGGGGCCACCAGTG